CTCCCCCCTCTTTCCCCCCAATTTTTCCCCTTTTCCCCCCCTCTCCCCCCTTTTCCCTCCTCTCTTCCCCCTCCCTCTCCCCCCTCTCCCTTCCCTCTCCCCCCTCTCTCCCCTCCCCTCCTCTCCCGTCTCTCCCCCCCCGTGTCCCCCCTCCCCTCTCTCCCCCCCCGTGCCCCCCAGACCCCCCTCCCCACCTGCAGGGGCTGTCCCGGGGCCGTGTCCTCGCACTGGGAATTGTCCTGCCAGGTCCTGCCGCTCTCGTCCGTCTCCCAGCGCCCGTCGGGGCCGCAGCGCCGCACGACCACCCCCCCCTGCACTGTGTGGCCGCCGTCACGCTCCGACCCGCGGGGGGACCCCCCGGCCCCCCCTTGCCCCCCCCGTTACCTCGGTGGTGCCAGGGCAGGTAGGAGGGGCAGGGCACGGTGACGGTGCTGTTGGGGGTCCCGTCCCCCCAGCACGCGTACAGGTCGAAGCTGCGGTTGCAGACGGGCCCTGGGGGGGCGCGGGGGGGTCAGGGGTGTCCCCGGATGGGGGGAACCCCGGGGGGGTCCCGGCTCACCTGGGGAGGGCGGGGCCAGGCGCAGGTGCTGCTCGCAGGTGAGGCGGTACTGGTGCCACGCCAGGAGGGTGGCCTGGGCCGAGCGGTCCTGGGGACACCGGGGGGGACAGAGGGACAGGAGGGGACAGAGGGACAGGGAGGGGACAGAGGGACAGGGGACAGAGGGACAGAGGGATAGAGGGACAGAGGGACAGGGAGGGGACAGAGGGACAGGAGGGGACAGAGGGACAGGTGGGGGGAGCGAGGTACAGGGAGGGAGGGGGACAGGGAGGGGACAGAGGGACAGGGGGGGGGACAGAGGGACAGAGGGACAGGGAGGGGACAGAGGGACAGAGGGACAGAGGGGACAGGGGAACAGGGAGGGGACAGAGGGGAATAGAGTGGGCAGGGGGCACAGGGAGGGGATGTTTGGGGGTCCTGGGGGGGGTCCCAGGGTGGGAGAGGACCCCCGGGGTGATGTGGGGGGTCCTGGAAGGTCTCGGGGGGCAGGTGACGTTGGGGGGGGCCTGTGGGGGTTCCCAGGGAGTGGGGGGACCCCCGGGGTGATGTTTGGGGGTCCTGGGAGGTCTCGGGGGGCAGGTGACATTGGGGGGACCCCCGGGGGACCCCCGGGGTGATATTTGGGGGTCCTCAGGGGTCCCGGGAGCAGGAGGACCCCCCGGGTGGTTTCGGGGGGTTCTGGGGCTGGAGGGTCCCTCGAGGCGGTGTTGGGGGGTCCCGGGGGGGGTCTCGAGGGCGGGGGCACCGCCGGGGTGATGTTGGGGGGTTCCGGGGGGTGGGGGGCTCCCGGATGATTTTGGGGGGTCCGGTGGGGGGTCTCACCTCTGTCCCACGCAGGACGCGGCTGAGCAGGGGGGGGCGGCCCATGGCGGCTCCTGGGGGGTCCCGGGGGGGTCCTGGGGAGGGGTGCCGGGTTTGGGGGGGTTGTGCCGGCGCCCCCCCCGCTCCCGCTCCCGGCGCCGCCCCCCCTTGACGCGCCCGTTGCCGTGGAGCCCCCACGGGGAGGGGGGGGGCACGGGGACCCCTCGCAGGCACGCGGACACGCGTGGGCGCCCCTTGGGGGGGTTTCCAGCAGTCACCTCCCCCCTCGACGTCCCTTGTCCCCCCCACCCGGGTTGCTTTTCCCCCCTCCCTCCCACCACGTGTGTCCCCTGCTGCCCCCCCAAAGTGCCCTCGTGTCCTCCCGATGCTCCCACGACCCCCCCCCCGGCGACCCCCCCGGTGTCCCTTGTCCCCCCCCCGATGTCCCTTGTCCCCCCTCGTGTCCCGGGTCCCCCCCACGCGTGTCCCCCCGACCCCCCCGGGACCCTCCCCGCGATCCCCCCCGGCACCCCCCTCGTGTCCCGTGTCCCCCCCGTGTCCCCCGTCCCCCCCCCGTGTCCCGGGGCCCCCCACGCGCGTTCCCTCCCCCGGGACCCCCCCGCGCCCCCCGGTACCGGCTCCGCGCGTGGCTCCGGCAGCGGCTGCGGCGGCGCCGCCCACGGGGGGCGGGGGGGGCTCGGGGGGGGGCTCGGGGCGCGCGTGGGGGGGCTCGGGAGGAGCAACGTGACCCGCGGGTCGCGTGGAGCCCAACCCACGGCACGGGGCGGGCGGGAGGAGGGAGGGGAGGGGACCCCGAGGGTCCCGGGGGCACCCACGAGGGTCCCAGAGTCACCCTCGGGGGTCCCGGTGTCCCCCAGGTGTGTCCCAGGTGTGTCCCAGTGTCCCCCATTGCCCCCCACTGTCCCCCATGTCCGCTGTAGGTTCCCAGTGTCCCCCCCGTGAGTCCCAGTCCCCCCAGTGCCCCCCAGTGCCCCCAATGTCCCCCAGTGCCCCCCAGTGCCCCCAATGTCCCCCAGTGCCCCCCAGTGCCTCCCAATGTCCCCAAGTGCACCCAGCGTCACAGTAACCAACCACAGGATGCGCCCAGTACAACACAATTGTATACCCCAGTGCCTCCCAATGTCCCCCAGTGCCCCCCAGTGCCCCCAGTGCCCCCCAGTGCCCCCAGTACCCCCCAATGTCCCCCAGTGCCCCCCAGTACCCCCCAGTGCCCCCCAGTGCCCCCCAGTACCCCCCAGTGCCCCCCAGTGCCCCCCAATCCCCCCCATTCCCCCTCATCACTGGGACCCCCACGAGGGGGCGTGGTCTCCCACAAAGAAGGCGTGGCCTCCCGCAAGCGTGGGCGTGTCCTCATCATTACAAAGGAGGCGTGTCCCGCCAGGGGGCGCCACACCTCCCTCCCCTCCGGGGGCACGTCCGGGTGGGCGGGGCCGACCGCCTTCCCCCGCGACGCGCGCGTGACGTCATCCCCGCGCGCCCCCCCATCCGCCCCGTGACGTCATCCCCGCGCGCCCACTATGGTGGCGGGCGCGTTCCCGCTGGCCAAGCTGCTGACGCTGGGCGCGCGCCAGCTCAGCCGCCCCCTGGCGGCGCGCATCAAGGCGGGGGCGCGCGCGAGCCCCTTCTTCAGGGCCTACATCTGCCTGCCCCCCGCCCAGCGTGAGTGACACGGGGGGCACGGGGGACACGGGGGGACATGGGGGACATGGAGGGACATGGGGGGTCATGGGGACACGGGGGGACCCCGCCCCGGCCCCTCCTTCAGGGCCTACATCTGCCTGCCCCCCGCCCAGCGTGAGTGACACGGGGGGACATGGGGGGCATGGGGGACACCCGGGGACACGGGGGGGTCACGGGGACACGGGGGGACCCCGCCCCGGCCCCTCCTTCAGGGCCTACATCTGCCTGCCCCCCGCCCAGCGTGAGTGACACGGGGGGCACGGGGGGCACGGGGGGACATGGGGGACATGGAGGGACATGGGGGGTCATGGGGACACGGGGGGACCCCGCCCCGGCCCCTCCTTCAGGGCCTACATCTGCCTGTCCCCCGCCCAGCGTGAGTGACACGGGGGGGTCATGGGGGGGTCATGGGGGGCATGGGGGGACATGGGGGGACATGGAGGGACATGGGGACACCCGGGGACACGGGGGGGTCACGGGGTCACGGGGGGACCCCGCCCCGGCCCCTCCTTCAGGGCCTACATCTGCCTGCCCCCCGCCCAGCGTGAGTGACACGGGGGGGTCATGGGGGGTCATGGGGGGACATGGGGGACATGAAGGGACATGGGGGACATGGGGTCACGGGGGGACCCCGCCCCGGCCCCTCCTTCAGGGCCTACATCTGCCTGCCCCCCGCCCAGCGTGAGTGACATGGGGGGGTCATGGGGGGACATGGGGGGACATGGGGGGACATGGGGGGACATGGGGACACCCGGGGGCACGGGAGGGTCACGGGGGACATGGGGGGACATGGGGGGACATGGGGACACCCAGGGACACGGGGGGGGGACACGGTTTGGGGGGGTATGGGCGGGTTTGGGGGCTCTGTGGGTGGGTTTGGGGGGTCTCTGGGGGGTCGATGTGTCTCTGGGTGGGTTTGGGGGGTCTCTGGTGGGGTTGATGTGTCTCTGGGTGGGTTTGGGGGGTCTCTGGGAGGTCGATGTGTCTCTGGGTGGGTTTGGGGGGTCTCTGGGAGGTCGATGTGTCTCTGGGTGTACCTGGGGGGGTCTCTGGGGGGGTCGATGTGTCTCTGGGTGGGTTTGGGGGGTCTCTGGGTGTACCTGGGGGGGTCTCTGGGGGGGTCGATGTGTCTCTGGGTGTACCTGGGGGGGTCTCTAACCCCCCGCCCCCCCTCAGTGTACCACTGGGTGGAGATGAGGACCAAGATGCGGCTGCTGGGGTTCCGGGGGGCGGCGGTGAAGCCCCTGAACGAGGAGGCGGCGGCCGAGCTGGGGGCAGAGCTGCTGGGGGAGGCGCTGGTCTTCGGGGTCGGGGGGCTCTGCCTCTACCTCGAGTACCTGCGGCAGGCGGGGCAGAGCCGGCGGCGCGAGGAGCACCTGGAGCAGACCCTGAGCGACCTGCGCCGGGACATCGAGGGGCTCCGGAGGGACCTGCACGAGCTCAGGGGACACGGGGGGCAGGGGCGGCCCCCCCAGGGGCAGGGACACCCCCAGAAGGGGGAGGGACACCCCCAGAAGGGGGAGGGACACACCCAGGGAGGGGCCGGACACGCCCAGGGAGGGGCCGGACGCCCCCAGACTGGTGCTGGGAATGGGGCGCCAGGCGATGGCCACGCCCCTGTGGTGACGAGCCACGCCCCCGCGGCCACGAGCCACGCCCCCGTCGGGTCAGGCCACACCCCCTGACAATAAAGTGCCCTCGTGATGTGTTTGGGTGTGGTGAAGGGGCGGGGCTTAAGGGAGAGCTGGGCGGGGCTACCCCTTGGGGGCGGGGTCTGGAGCAGGGTGTGGCCGCGGGCGGGGCCCCCCAAGTGACCCCCCTCAGCCCCCGCCTGTCCCCCCTTCCAGGGACCCCCCAAAACCACGAGGGGCCTGTAGAAAACCGTTTATTGGTGCGTGTGGGGGGGGTGGGACGGGACCCCCAAACCCCCCCAAAATAACCAAAAATAAAGGTGAAAACCCCAAAAAGTGGCTTAAAAAAGACCCCGGGCAGGGGGAGGGGGGGAAAGGAGGGGCTCCCCCCCCCTCCCTTCAAGTGTTTAAAAAAAAAGAGGGTCTCGGGTCGGGATGGGGGGGGCACAGTGTGGGGGGGAGGGGCTGCCCCGCCCCTCCCCCCTTGGTAAGGCACAGCCTGGGGGGTCCGGCCCGGAGCCCCCCCAGGGCGGTGAGGGGGTGAAATGGTGACGGGGAGGGGCTCGGGGGGGGGGGCCCTCCCCAAAATCCAGGCTCACGGGGGGGTGTGGGGGGGGTCAGGGCGTGTTTCGCTTCCGCAGCTCCGCCACGAACGCTGGGGGGGGAGGGGGGGCACAGTGTTGGGGGGGCAGTTTGGAACCCCCCCAGCCCCCCTGTGGCCCCTCCCTTTCCCCTGAGCCTCCCATGGCCCCCCCTTACCCCCCATGGCCCCCCCTTTTCCCTTGAGCTTCCCCCGGGAGCCCCCCCAGACCCTTCGTGGCCCCCCCTGCCCCCCCCCAGGACCCCCCCAGGGCCCCCTCCCACCTTCAATGATCTCCTCCTTCATCTTCTGCAGCTCCCTCCGAATCTCCTCCAGCAGCTCCTGGAAAGGGGGGGGGGAATTTGAGATTTGAGGGGGGGTCCACACCCCATAACCCCCCCCCCCAAAACCCCCCAAACCCCCCAAACTGGTACCAGTTTGAGTCTCTCCAGGTCGGGCTCACTGTGGTGCTCGGAGGGGGGAGGGGCAGGAACGGCCGATTTCATCCTGGGGGGGGGAAACCAATAAATTGAGGACCCCCCCCCAGGACCCCTCCGGGACCCCCCCAGGGCCCCCAAAACCCACCTGGGGAGGGTGGAGCTCGACTTCTCCCACAGCCTCCGAACGGGCTCTGCGGGGGAGAGGGGGCGGTGAGGGGGGGTGGACCATAAAGAGCCCCCCGAACCTCCCCTTTTCCCCTATAAAACCCCCCTAAAACCCTCTCGTGCCCCCCGAACCTCCCGTTCCTGTAAAGAACCCCCCAAAACCCCCTCTTATTATCCTGAAGAATTCCCCCCAAACCCCCCCATTCCCCTAAACAGCTCCCCCCCAAACTCCCCCCTTTCCTCTCAGGGCCCCCCAAACCCTAAAGAGACCCGAGACCAGCCTCGTTCCCCACAGAAACCCTCCCAAACTCCCCCATTCCCCTAAAGCCCCCCCCGAATTTCCCCGGCTCCAGGACTACGACTCCCATGATGCCCCGCGAGCCCGCACCCTGCCCTGCCGCGCCCCAGCGCCGCGGTGCACGCTGGGAGTTGTGGTCCGCGCGCTCACCCGCGGGCGCGCTCTTCGTGCCCGGCTCCGCCTCGTCCTGGGGGGGCACAAAGGGGGTTTTGGGGGGGTCTGGGGCGGAGGGGGGGGTAGGTTTGGGGTGACACCCCCCCAAAATCGCTCGAGGGGGTGGTACTGACATTGATGACGTCATCGTCCCTTTTGGGGGGTTTCTCCACCTGCTCCGTGGCTTTTCTCCTGGGGGGGGGGGGATAAAGGGAGGGGTCAGAGTGGGGGCCCCCCCGTCCAAATTGTGCCCCCCCCCAACCCGATCTCCCGAGCCCCCTCCTCACCGCCGGGCCAACATGGCGCTCATCTCCTCCATCAGCCCCCCCCCGGTCCCCCCCACCCGGGGGGGACCCTCGCCCTTGGGGGGGGCAGGGGGGGCCCCCCCGCTGGGGGGGGTTTCGTCCTGCGGGGGCAAACGGGGTGAAGCAGAAACAACCCCCCCTCCCATTTCTTTCTCCCCCCAATTTATTGCCCCCCCCAATTGTGCCCCCCGACATTTATTGCCCCCTAATTGTGCCCCCTCCCACTTGTTACCCCCCCTTGTGCCCCCCCAAGTGTTGCTCCCCGATTCTCGCCCCCCTCCATTTGTTGCCCCCCCATTTATTAACCCCTCAATTACTGCCCCATTTATTCCCCCCCCATTTATTCCCCCCCCCCAAATTGCCCCCCTCCCTCCCCCCCACTCACCTTCCCCACCCTCCGCAGTTTTGCCCCCGCGATGGCGGCGGCGAATCCAGAGACCCCCCCGGGGCCCCCCCCGGGCCCCCCCGAGCCCCCCCCCGGCAATGGGGGGGCCGGGGGGACCCCCCCCGGGGCTGAGGGGGGCGGCGGCCCGGGCGGTGGGGGCGGTCCCGGGGGTGGGGGGGGGCCGGGGGGCGGGGGGGGCGCTCCGGGGGGTCCTGGGGGGGCAGAAAGAGGGGGGGGTGTTAATGAGTGAGGGGGTCCTCCAAATTTTGGGGGGGGGGTGTCACTGTTACCCACCTGTGACCCCCCCGCGGCGCTCGGGCTCCTCCATCACCTGCCTGGGGGGGGGAAGGGG